TCATTTTCCTCAACCAATGTCAGATTCTCAATAGGAAGGTCGACTTGAATATTCGATTTTAAAGTCATCTCACCCACCTCTTTCTCATCCTCACGTTCTCTACCAACCTCATTTTTTCCTAGAGGAGTAGGTGGAACGGGTGGTCTAATTGCAACCATATCAGGAATTTCCTCTTGTGATTGAGAAATAAGGTTAGGGTTGAGGGTTTGCCCCTTGGCTAGTTGGCTAAGTCGAGATGAAATCCTACGCAAACCTTGGATGAGAAGTTCATTGGAAGTTTGTACAAACTCTTTTAATTCAACTTCCATCTTAGATGTCATCTCATTTATACATTCTTCCCCTATGTAGGTATGGTCGCTAGATGGCATCTCACCCACCTTGAGATTATGTTGGCCACCAAAGCCAATTGGATGATCTGCTTGGTGGGAATAATAATTAGGCTGATCATAGATATTGGCCGGATTATTTTGGCCACCTGGGTAAGTGCGTTGCCCCCATGCCACTTGATTAGTTTGGCCACCAAAGCCATTTTGATCATTCAAACCATTTTGGTTCATAACATCATATTCGCCAACATAGTTGTGCCCACCATATTGGCCACCAAATCCACCAACATAGTTGTACCCATCATATTGGCTACCAAATTGACTACTTGAACCATATTGGATGTTAGGCCCACCTTGATGGATAAAATTATATTGGCCATAGTGGTTGTAGTCACCATGTTGGCCGATGGATTGGCTACTCGAGCCATAAGCATCATAGCCGTTGTAGTTCATCGGCTGGTAGGATTGTTGCCATTCCTTTCGGTCGCTCATATAGTTAATCCCACCGGGCGTGCCAAATTATGTTTCCCTCTTTTCGGCTGGGTAGGCCGACGGAAGGAGTTTTTGGTCCTTTTTCTCTTGAGATGCGTAGGCGTGCCACCACCAAACCACTTGATGGCTTGGATGGAAAGATCGTGTGAGTGTGTTTGCGCTTCTGACTTTTTATCAAACGATTGATCGACCAAGCAAGGAACCTCCTATTGGCAGGCCTAGGTTCTTTTTCCTCCTTGAGGTCAAGGATGATTGAGCTTTGTATGACTATTTTTAGGATTTTTGTGATAAGTGTATTGAATGTAAATGCAATAAAAGAAATGACAGAAATGTAAGTGCGATAAACGAAATGGCAGAAATGTAAATGCGATAAAATAGATTAAAGCGATAAAGACTTGAATTAAATTTGAATGTAAAGACAATTGAAATTAAATTGCAAGAATGTAAGCTTACACTAGGAAAACGAAGAACTTAGATAATCTAAAGAACTTGAAAGATAAAATCCTAGACTATGAATTGAAAAGTACAGGATAGAAAGATAGATTTTGTGTGTTGAGTCGGAGGTCTTTCTTTCTTCATCTCACATTTTGCATCCAGCACGCTGCAACCCACATTTTGCATCCAGCACATTGCAACCCACATTTTGCATCCAGCACGCTGCAACCCACATTTTGCATCCAGCACATTGCAACCCACATTTTGCATCCAGCACGCTGCAACCCACATTTTGCATCCAGCACATTGCAACCCACATTTTGCATCCAGCACGCTGCAACCCACATTTTGCATCCAGCACATTGCAACCCACATTTTGCATCCAGCACGCTGCAACCCACATTTTGCATCCAGCACATTGCAACCCACATTTTGCATCCAGCACGCTGCAACCCACATTTTGCATCCAGCACATTGCAACCCACATTTTGCATCCAGCACGCTGCAACCCACATTTTGCATCCAGCACATTGCAACCCACATTTTGCATCCAGCACGCTGCAACCCACATTTTGCATCCAGCACATTGCAACCCACATTTTGCATCCAGCACGCTGCAACCCACATTTTGCATCCAGCACATTGCAACCCACATTTTGCATCCAGCACATTGCAACCCACATTTTGCATCCCACATTTTGCAACCCACATTTTGCATCCCAAGCTTTGCATCCCACATTTTGCATCCCACACATTTTGCATCCCAAGCTTTGCATCCCACATTTTGCATCACAAGCTTTCCCACGTGACTTGCTGCTTCCTTTGTCCAAATGTTAGTCAACAAAACACCACTTTTGACTGCAACTTGCATTCATACATATAAATAACAAGACAATTGGATTCCAACCCAAACACTTGCAACCCAATTTGCAAAGAGACCAAATACTCCAGCTGACCAAGTTTGGGAATGCCAAAGTAAACCCACGTGGGTCCTCTCATGTCCAAGACATTTCTTCAGCCAAGTTCAAAACCTCCCCTTCTTGGTTTACACGCTGGCTACATTTCTTTTCCTCATTTTCTTCTTCCTCCTTCTTCTTCAAGACTCAAAACCGAGGGCACTGTTCAGAAATCCAGAAGTCATATTTCGGAAGCTCCAATCAGAAAACTTCCTTAATGAAAGTTGTTCGTCTACCTGAGGACTAAAATCTGTGAAATTTGTAGATTGTTCTCAATTTTTCTGATGCCTCAAAACGGGTTTCCATCTTTTGTGTTCAGCCATGGCTGCTGGGTTTCTGCAGACTCGGTTTCTGCATTTGATTTTAATATGTGATTCTCGGATGGTTGTGATTGCTTCACGAAACTTGCTCGAAATTGTGTTGGCTATAACATATCCAAAATTGAAGATCATCCAACCGTTGTAGTTCCCCCTGCCTTTATTTTTCTGAAGTATGGACTTGGAGACCACTTGACTTAGCTTGGATTTGGAGACCACATCCAAACAGGTTTCTTCTGTTCAAATGAATATAGATGAGCAAAAATATTGAGTGAACAATAGACTGAAAAATTCTTTGGTAATCTTTCAAATGTGGTTGTTTTTCTTTTTTAAATTGCTGTAATGTTGCATGTGGGTTGACTACGTGTCTCATCTTAATCACCACTATGTTTTTTTTCCTAAAACAAATGCAATTTAATTAGTTTTAGACTTGGGGTATTTTCATAATTGTAGTTTGCTGTGGTGCTAAATATGCAATTCTGTATTTAGTAACGGAGGTAATATAATTGACATTAAATTTTGATCATGTTGCTGAATTTACATGTAGAGGGTTTTTTAGCAGCCATGGGGGCTATTTGGTCCTCCGATACAAGTCCTGACTCGCCATCATCCGACTCAACGAATCCCACTGATTCTCATAAGGCTGACTCACCACCAGATTCATCAAATCCCAACATGTCCAATTCAGATTCTAAAACCCCAGAAGACCAAACTCCAAAACATACCGTAGATCACCAATTGGATACAAAAACTCTAGAAGAAGAGAAGCATCAGGAAGATGAAGGCGCATTTTGAAAAGAAGAAGAGCAAGATGAGGGAGAATGTGGCTTTTGCTTGTTCATGAAAGCTGGTGGGTGCAGGGAGAGTTTCATAGCTTGGGAAAAGTGTGCTGCGGAGTCTGAGATGAACGAGGAGGATGTTGCTGAAAAGTGCTTTGAGGTCACCGCGGCCTTGAAGAAGTGTATGCAGGCTCATCCAGATCACTATGCGCCCATATTGAGGCTTGAGAAGGCAGCTGAGGAGGAGGCTGCCAATTGAAAGAAGAAAAGACTTCTAAGAGCTCGGGGCAAAATGCCACTTTGATCCATTCGAACCAGCATGGGAATTCTAGTGAAAAGCGAGATAGTTAAAGACAGTTTAGAATTTGCCTTGTGAATTGAAATAGTACTATGATCTGTACATTTTCTCATCTAATTCCTAGCATGGGCGGTAAATGAGATTTCTTACACTCCACATTTTGGAACTGCTTTTCGTTGCTGATATGAAACTGTGGTCAGAGCCAATTGAGATGTATGACTAGTCTACATGTTTTTGCTAAGAGAGAAAATTACACTACGAACCCCGAGCACAACCCAACCCTAAGAAGTCATGTTATGAAGTTACGTCTTCGAATTTTCGGCCATGGTTTCATTTAGAAGTAAAATCTTGTAGCTCGTAACACGTGCAGGTGCTAAAGCTTAATAAGGGCGAGAGATGACAGGTTTATGAGGTTGCTTCAGGTCATTGTTATTTGTTTTGATCACCTCTATTTAATGACAATGCGACATCAACATGTTGCAATTGATTATCCTCTCATGAGCTAATAGATGCGGATGCCATAAAACATGACATAATACCCATAATTTGATTTTCACATCAGGGTTTAAAGCCAACAACGAAAAGGCAACAGAAAATAGGACAATCACAATAAGCAAGTTGTTACATAACACTAATCTCGATCCATGCAAATATACTTCAAAGTCAAGATGCCTTGAAGTTCATAAAAACAGAAAATTTAATACAAATGCATTTCCTAGTCAACGCCTCTGAAGGCTCCCACTATTACAGTCCGAAGAGGCCTATCACACCGAATATGCATTCCAAGATAGCTTAGATAAGGAGTTTCTCAATGGCATCCTGCAGTTCACACATAAAATGTTCAGAATGTAGGACCAAATCCAAGCACTAAGGAAACCTGAAACATAAATTGTAGATTAAAACTAGAACGAAGAGTACCTTGAGCTGTTGTATTTGCGACTTCAATTGACTTCCCTCATTGGAAGTCACTGAACACGCAATGACAGGTCTTGTGACACCACAGGCTCGGCCTAGTGCTTGCTTCGAAGGGACAAAAACGTAGGGAACATTCTGCCAAATTCAAATAGAACATTTGTAAAGTGCTTTAAATTGATTTAAATCACTAGGAGAATCATCAAACTAAAAAGTAAGGATTTTGATGCTTCAATATAAAAAATTAAAAAAATCATGAAGAAACAAACATAAAATACTATCTTGGGCATGGTCTTTCATGTCTGCAACCAATAAGCCTTGCTTACTGAAATGCTTGCGCCAAATGGGATGCACAAGGGCTAACCTTCAAATAGGCGATTAGGTGCATCTATGTCCAGCCATAGACCACAATCCTACCAACTACGGTAAATACCTAACGGGTCTGGTTTGGGTCAAATATAACACAACCAGTGCCACAATATAACACAAAACAAGAATGCAATCAAACACAACCAAAGGGGTAATACTTCTCTCTCACTTCATTTTTGCGTGTAAAACATCAAACGCTTGGAAACTACAGTAAGTAGCTCTTAACAGACGAGAACGAATCATAATAGGACAAACAATACGCCTAAAAGGAAACATTTAATCCACAAAAGGTGAGCAAATAAAAATAGAACTTCAGAATGTCTTTGTGAAAAGCAGCAATAGTTGAATTTATTGAACTATCCTCATATGAGAAAAAGAACACAACACTCTCCCATCATCCAATAGAAAGAAAAAAAAAACCATGTTGCAATCAAAGAATCAACGCATTTATGACACTAAAACTTCAGTGGCATAGATATGTAACAGGAATGATGAATAGTACCTTATCTTCAGCCAACAGGGGAAGGTGAAGAAGAATCTCAATCGGCTCAGTGTCACACGCCATCACTACGAACTCAGAAATACCCCTGTTCAGGGTCTTAGTCGCTGAAAACCAAAACCCATAAAACAAATGTTAAAATCTATATAAACAGATAAAAACAGAAGCAGGCAGCCATGGCATTGAAATTTGAGCATTTAACGTACCTTCATTGGCACCCTTTTTAAGCTGCTTGTAGTTAGCTGCCTGTTGAACCAGGTCGAGTATTGTGATCGTCAGCTGCGCATCGGCCAAAGGGTACGCTTTTGCGTTCACTGCCTCTCCTGTCTGCAATTGCATTCATACACAAACAAATTAAAAAACAAACAAATGACAAACACAATCAATCAACCATGCTCTCTAAGCTGAAAACAAAGATGAAGAGCAAGATACTACCATTGTGTGGTCGATTTCGTGGGAGTAGAGAGGCTAGGGATTTTTATGAGACGGAAGAGAGAGAGCGAGAGTAAGAGATGGAGTCGAGAAAGAGGGAGGGAGAGAGAACGGCGGTTGGATTGGATTTGATAAAGAAGAAGAGGAAAAGAGGAAAAGAGGAATTAGGGTTATAAGCTAAGGGCATGAGATTAAGAGATATTGGCTTATATAAGGCCCTTATTGATGGACAATGATAATTCATTTTCTGGGTATCTAGGCCCATCTTGTTGCCCTAATTCGATCAGCCCACAAATAGGGACACTGACTTTAGGCATTAAAACCTGAGAGAGGGAATATATATGAAAAGTTGTAGGACAATTAGCATCAAGTGGTCGTGCCGGAGTGGTTATCGGGCATGACTAGAAATCATGTGGGCTTTGCCCGCGCAGGTTCGAATCCTGCCGACCACGTTTTGATATTTATTTTTAGAATTTGGAAGAGGAGAGAGATTGTGACTTGCATTTTGCTCTGTTTTGCTTCCTCTTCTTCTTCACTCGTACACAATACAGTTCTCTTTTTGTTTAAATTATAAACGTGCGTGAAACAAGATTAGGTAGTAGTAGCTAGTAGCCTAGTAGGAGGTGGTGATAATAGAGAGCATTTTATTGTTACTCATGGCAAAGGGTTAACATTCGGTCTGTTCTCTCAGGCACTTTCTCAGTAGAATTCTTTGATGGGTTCCTTTTGTTTTGGGGCCCGGGCCTGCAGAAGCAAGACCATCAATTCATCTTTTATATGGTAATGGGAGGGAGGGATCGATAAACTTATGCATGCTGATGCTGGTGCTGCTTCAAACAAATTGCAGAAAAAATAAACCAAAAAACTGCATCAAAGAAAGCGTTTGTTTTGTTTCATGCCACAGAGTAAAAACAGAAATGAGTCATCGTATGAACCTTGCTATTAACAAACAAGATACATCAACATTCAGAAAACAGAGCATTGTTTTGCTGTCATGTTCATATGACCCTTTGGGATGGCATGCATAATGCATTTAATTAATGCAAATCATATTTTTGAAAACATATCTGGGCACCACAGTTAAGTTGAATGATCTTTTTGATGGGTTTCTCATCTCTGAAATACCACAACACTTTACTTCATCTCTGAAATGGCCGGTGGGTATATTTGATCAAGTTCTCACCACAACAGGAGATTACAGAGATCAACTCTCTCAACCCAAACCCGAAATACATCCAATCACTCACACTAGTCACAAATACAAATGAGTCAAGAACAAATCTCAGATTCTTGTTCACATACAAATACCAAAAGGAGAACATATACAAATGTGTGAAGTAACTCATAAACAGAAGAGAGAAACTTAAAGACTCTCCTTGTTGCTCACTAAGTTGCTTGCACACCAAATACAGAAGAGAGGCTCACACCCAATGACCAAGAAAGACAAGATAAAATGGACCTTTTGCTCTTCACCAAAGCTGCTGTATGCAGCAACATAGAAGCAAACAAATAGAGAATTTCTTCTCTATGATCGGCAGCCCAAGCTCCAAACTCTCTTGTCTAAAAGGTGCAGCTTATCACACACTTCTCACTCTCTTACCAAGAAGTACAGCCAATTCCACCAAAGTCAACATCCTCCTGGTTTTCTCGAATTATAATACAGCTTGAGGTGCCATGCCTTTTCTTTTTCTATGTTTTTTGAGTATGGGCATTGAAATTATATATTTTGTTAAATGTGCTATGCATTTTGAGGTGTCTCTAACAAGCTTCTCCACTTTATCTTTCTTCACATTGTTATCAATCTCCATCCCAGTCTCCATTCCATTGCAAGTATACCAACAATTTGTTTGCTTCTCAGCAAAGAATGGCCAGGAGAACATAGACACTCGAGCTGTCACACTGTCAATGGTTGAAAAAACAGCGTATAGACGCGCGGCTATACTATTTCTTTAAATAAAATTTAAAAAAACGAGCATAGCCCCAACCGGCTAAAATTTTAAAAAATCAAAGAAATAGTATAGCCACCGGGCTAGACTTGGGTTTTCCAAATTTCAAAAAAGAAATGGTACAGCCGTGCGGCTATACTCGGTTTTTTATAATTCTTTTAAAAAGAAATGATAAAGCCGCACAGGTCGCACGGGTATACCCTGTTTTTCAATGTTTTTTAAGAAAACATATAGCCGGCCGGCTACACTCGGTTTTTATTTTTTATTTTTTAAATTGGTATATCAGTTCGGCTATAATCGGTTTTTTTTTTTTTAAAGAAATAGTATAGCAAACGTTAAATACTCGTATTGAACATGTATGTGCATATTTTCTGTTTAATACACGTATTTTTTTTTTACAATATTTTCAATAATACATAAAAGATTCACTTATTATACCCATAATTCTCACATATTATTTAATACAAATATTATACATGAAACATTTTAAATAAATTATATTAAACTATTATACTTTAAGTTACACTAATTCAACTAGGAGGGTCATTTTTCTTAATTTTTTTTTTATTAAATAATACAGCCGTGCAACGATAATCTGTTTTTTCAAAAAAAATAAAATAAAAAGAAATCGTATAGCCGCACGCTTTTTTTTAATTTTTTAAAAAAGAAATAGTGTAGCCGAGCAGCTAGACTCGGTTTCTTCAAAAAAATTTAAAAAATAGTTGGGCCGCACGGCGATACTCTGTTTTTTTAATTTTTTTAAAAAGAAATAGTATCGCCGCTCGGCTATACTCGGTTTTTCTATTTATTTATTTTTAATTTTTAAGAAATAGTATAGCAAATGTTAAATACTCGTTTTGAACATGTACATATTGTTTTAATTAATGCATGTATTGTTTACTATATTTTCAATAATACACAAAAGATACACGTATTGTACACATAATTCTCACATATAATTTAATACAAATAATATATATGAAACATTTTAAATAAATTATATTAAAATG